AAGTTACTAACAACTTGGAACTATTATTCTTTCATATTTAATAAGAAGCTATTTACGATAATTAATTTTCTTCTAAATGGACACAACCCATCAGTTTTTATATGTAATATTATAAATGTCATTATTTTATAAATATTCTATATTAAATATATTTATAAAAATCTTTAGCTTCTTCTTCTTGAGTTCTTCTTTGGCCCAACAGGTATTTAGAAAAGTGTTGAGAATATTTATTTCTAAGTAGTTAAGTGGGTTTTTAAACATGACGTTGTTATTAATTTCTAGTTTTAGTATCAAATTGTAAGCAAATGTTTGGCAAAGTATCTGCTTTTTGAAATTCATAGAGATTTACTTTGTGCCTCAGAAGATTGGTCCTCAAATCTACCTGCTATCAAGAATTATCTCAAGATTTTTAAAAATAGAAATTCAGACTAACAATTCAATTAAAAAAGAAGCAAAGTATATAAACAGACTGTTCACAGAAAATAAAGACATGTGTTCCTTAAATAAAGGAAGAGATGCCCAACATCCTCCTCTAAAATTACTGTAAATTCAAACTACACTAAGATACCATTTTCACCTACCAGATTGGCAAAAACCCAAATGTTTGACAAAATATTCTGTTGGAGAAGCTTTGGAAAAAATAAGTAGTCTGATATATTGCCAATCGAGGTTCAAGTTTATCGAGTTCCTACAGAAGGCGATTTGGCAGTATCTGTTAAAGGAAGAATGCATGTGTTTTCAGCCAGCCTCTCACTCCTGAGAGATTGCTTTAATCCATACAAATTGACATTTGTACAAGGTTATTTATTACAGCATTATTTGTGATACCAAAGTGCTGACAGTGCCGTTAACAGGGAATCTATTCCATAAATTCTTCCACATCCACGTAATGGAATACTACGCAGCAGTAAAAGACATGAAGATGCTCTCCATGTACTAATATGGAAAGAACTCTACATCTATTATTAAGAGAGTTAAGTTACAAAACAATGTTGTATAGAATGTGAGGAATGAGAAAGACCCAGGAAATATGTTATTATTTATGTCTTTGTAAGTCTTACACATTTCTATTCAAATATACATACATGGGCATGTTTAAATTGTTATTGTCTTTTAAATGGTTGGAGCCTAGAAGTCTGGGTTTTGTTTTTGCTTTGCTCCAACATGATTCTGTGGCAGCACATTCATAGAAAACCACCGATGTCCTCACAATCAATATGAATATTCCATAGGCACTTGAAAAGAAGCAGAAATGTCTTCCTCTTCCTCCTCTTCCTTTCTCCTCCTCCTTTTCCTCTTCCTCCTCTTCCTCTTCTTCCGCTTCTCCTCCTCCTCTGTCTTCTTCTTCATATTTAAACGTGAAAAGGAAGAAATCTTTTCGGGCTTGTTATTTGTTTCCAAATTGTGGGTAGATCTTGGCTCCTCGCATGGCACGTACAGAGGCTGTTAAAATATTCTTCCTAGATTTAAGGCTGAAGAGCTGGTTGTTATAAGACACCAGTGAAATAATCCAGAAGCCTACAAGGACTGAGGAAGAGTCTGGGACGGGAGTGACGGCCAGCGGGGGAAGTCCGTCTCTGCATAATTTCTCCTTTGTGTCTGGTAAAGCCACTAAGCCCTGGGGCCAGTTGTCTAGGTCTGGTTTTCAGTTTGGCCTGGCCATCACTGCAAGTACACGATGGGCCTGTCCAACTTCCTAGCTGGTGTGTGGCTTCTCTCCGCCACCCTATCCGCAGCTTTCTCTGTGGGAGGGCCACATGTGGGCTTGCTCGGGCTCCTCGTGGCAATGATTTCAAATACTGTTGGCTCAAAACAACACAAGTGATTCCATGTGGAAAGACCCTGTCTGTTCCAGGGCTCACCTCCACTTCTACAGAGTCCAGGACTCCCCCAGAATCTCCAATTTCATGTATTTCCACCTTACACTGCTTTCTAAGGAAGGGGAACTGGGGTTCAATTTCACCTACATGATAGTCCTAACTGTCCCATAGATTACAAAAGAAAAAAGTCAGCATGTGATGTTCCTGGCATCTTTCTCCAGTTTTCAGTCCTGGTGCAGCATTTCTGGTAGGATCTAGTATTAGAAAGAGGTTAGATCCGTATGTTCAATTGTCATCCTCCTCAGAAGTCCTATCCAATCTGGGTCTGATTTTTATTAAGAAAGGAAGCAATTTTCTATACAGAGGTTCACCTACTTCAAAACCCTATTTGGACAGGAGGGTTCAGGTACTGCTCCCGCAGAAAATTGCTCCAGTGATTTAACAGATTCTCCTGCCTTGCAAATTTTTAGCCAGGTGAACTTCAGTTTTTCAACAAATTGCTTCCTTTTTTTAATTAAAAAAATGTATTTACTGCCCTGGCCAGTTTGGCTCAGCGGTTAGAGCGTCGGCCTGCGGTCCGCAGAGACCCGGGTTCGGTTCCCGCTAAGGGCACGTACTTCGGTTGCAGTTTGTCCCCGGCCCTGGTTGGTCGTGCGGGTGGCAGCCACTCGATGTGTCCCTTCACATCGATGTTTCTCTCTCTCTCTCCCTTCCTCTCTCTCCCTCCCACTCTATCTGTACAAAAAATGGAAAAAATGTCCTTGGGTGAGGATAAAAAAAAAAAAAAAAAAAAAAATGTATTTACTTAGAAGCATTCAGCATGCCAACAGAACAGCCGCAACTTCTTTTTGCAATTACAGAGTGGTATTCAGTTAACAGAACAACTATTTCGTACATTCCCAGGTCTCAGGTTCGATCCCCAGTGGGGTGTGTACATGAGGCAACTGACTGATGTTTTTCTCTCACATCAATATCTCTCTCTCTCTCCCTCCCTCCTTCTAGAATCGATGAAAAACATATCCTCGGGTAAGGATTAATTTTTTTAAAAAAGATACTGTACAGTTAAAAACAAATTTTACACAGCCTTATATTTCAGTTTTCTTTAAAAGGAGCAAGTTGTGTACAGGAGGATTAAATGCTTTACAGACAAGAAAAAAAAAACCTGCACTAGAACCAACTTATTCATCATCTTCATCTTCCTCCTCATCATCCTTTTCATCTTCCTTGTCTTCCTCCTCTTCCCTCTTTTTCCTTTAATCCTCACCCGAGGATACTTTTATATTTATCTTCAGACAGAGTGGAACAGAGGAAAAAAACATTGCTACAAGAGAGACACATCGAGTGGCTGCCACCCGCACAGCCCCAGAGGGGCCCGGGATGAACCGCAACTGAGGTACGTGCTCTTGGCCAGAATCGAACCCACGACTCTTTGGTCCAACTGAGGTACGTGCCCGTGGCCGGAATCGAACCCGCGACTCCTTGGTCCGCAGGCTGACGCTCTAACCGCTGCGCCAAACCGGCCAGGTGTCTTCCTTCTTCTTGCTTTTTTCAGCCGTGAGGATTCCTCCTTCGCTGCCAGGCCCTCCTACAGCTCCGCACCAGCAACACCCTTCCCTGCCCTTCCCTGGGTGCCCCCTGGACTCAGCACCTCCTTTCCTCGGGCCACTGGTCACCTGCAGCCATGTGACTGCGCATCTCCCTGGGGCTGTTGCAGCATCACCAGCGGACAGGCCGGATGCTCTCCCTTGATTCCTGGACGATACTCAGAACAAAACAAGAAAACGGCCAAGGGTGGCCTCGTGGGTGCACGGGGTTCCTGGAACTCCTTTTTGGTTTCCCTCCAGGAGGGAGGTCCATTTCAGAACGGGCCTCGGGGCCTTTGCCACGCCTTCCACTCTCCCTTCTCCCCAGCAGACAGGTCTCCAGCTCTCGCACCGCTGACAGGACTCTAGAAGCTGACAGCACTGGCGGCGGCTGCCGCTGCTCCTCCCGCAAGGCTGCACAGAGAGCGCCCGCCTCTCGGCTTCTGGGGTCTCCTTGGCCCGTGTTTAATTATTGGTCTTCCCGCCACCTGGCCCCAGGAATCGGGGGCAATGGGCAGCACAGGGAGAGAAGGTGCATGCCCGGGGCCCCCACTGTGCCCGCCGCCCCCATTTTGTCAGGTGAGGGACAAGCCCCGTTTGAAAAGGGGGCTGGCTCCCCCAGCAGCCGCCCGCCTGCTGCTAAAATGCTTCCTTTCTTATTAAAAAGCAAACCAAGACCAAACGGGTGCTCACGACTTCCTGGTACCGCCCGCCTCTCCCGTGGCAAGGCCATAGCAAGGCTGTGTGTCCCTGTCCCCTGCCACAGTTATCTCAAAATGTGGGCCCCCCAAAAATGTTATTGTTCTTTTCTAAGTGCCTTCAAGGACTTCCAGTTCCATCCAACAAATTGGGGTTGGGAGCTGACAGGTTCACAGGTCCCTGCTGAGCCCCGGCACTCGGCCTTCGCCCTGGCCGTGGCTTCTCCACCAGCCCACCAGGACGGAGAGGAGGACTCAGACTCCGTGCTCGCATAGCATCCTGTGCCGGTCACTAAAATCACACCTGTGACACATACTAAACTCCTGTCTTCCTCTCCCTCTAGACCGTACGCCTTTAAAGAGGGACCACGGCTCAGTCATCATTGCAGCCCAAGCACCGATCACAGTTCCTGGTACAAAGGAGGTTCCACAAGCCAGGCGAATTGAACCAAACAGAAACCAGTTCCATCCCTGCCGTGAGGACGTCACAATCCAGAGAGGTCCCTGGCTCAGCTGCTAATCAGCGCCCCTGCTGTGGCCATCACTCCATCCTGGGGACCCAGCCTATTCCCGACGCTTTGGGATCTATGCTTCCCAACTGGACGCACCCCACCGGCAGAGCCTCTCCCAGGAGGATGGGGTGTGTCTCCGCAAACTGAACCGTCCCTACTTTTCCTTCCCTGTTCCCCACAGCCAGAGACAGGCAGGTGAGGGCAGGGTCCGTGTGACCTTGAGACCAGGACACCACTCTGACTCCCGCAAACAGTCAGCTGGCATAAACACCGGTCTCCCTGCCTGGCAACTCGAACATAGCCCGGTCTGTTCCCCCCAGCACACCCAGACAGGACTGGTCAGACTGGTATTTCTGGGTGTGACCTCCAACAGCAAAGCAGCCCCACCTGAGAATAATCCGAAGGTACTCAATGCCCTCCGCCTCCTCGCACTTGATGGACAGGAGCAAGTTCCCCAGACTGCTGCCAGTGCAGTAAAAGTTTAGGTGATCCTAGAAACAGAAATCAGGAGTTAGCGGGGAGGAGGGGGACCTTCCAGGCATGGCTCCCAAAATCACCTCCTTCAATGGGAGTGAGAAGCCCCATAGCAAGGAGGAAGAGAAGGATGCTACAGGTGAGGGGGAGGGGAGGAGGGGAGGAGGGGAAGAGGGTCATAGTAACAGGTTCCAACTACCAAGTCCTCAGGCTGTCTGCGCCAGGCACTGGGCTAAGGGCTTACTTATGACCCATAATCTCCTCTAACCCACTTCACAGATGGAGAAAACACGTTCAGGGAGGTTAAGCAACAATCAGGGTCACACAATTAGTGGGCAGGAGATCCAGGATTCAAACCCACACGTCTTGGCTGAAGCTCAAGTTCTTCGCAAGACTCAGAGTCCAGGGCCTGGCCCCCAGGGAGCAGCCCCTGCCAATGCAGGCTGTTTGTGGGAACAAGGCCAGGGGGAGCCTGCCACCTCCACCCAAGGGCAGCAGGGAGATCTCTGGACAGTGGGTCTCACCCTGGCTCAGGGAGCCCGCCCCAGACCTGCTGTGTTAGGATGAGGCCCTGGAATCTGCATTTTAACAAGGCGGGGGGAGGGGCAGGGGCATCCGTCTGTCTCCTCCCTGTGAGACAGCAAAGCTGACTTAGGCGGGAGACTTCCGGAATCTGCCCTCGGGACTTCTGGAACCTGGCGAGTCTGAGGGCTGACTGTATTTAAAGAAATGTAACTGTCACTGTTAAGCAATCAGAGGCTCACAGCACATCATCCCGTGTAAGTACCGGGGGACCTGCTTGAGTGAGGACCTGAGAGATTTGTACTATTTAGATGGAAACGGAGACTTCGGAGGTGTGAGAACATGTTTCTTGTTCCAATCTTCACCCCCCCCCAAAAAAAAAACACTGCCCGCCTAGAACATTTGCTGGGGGTGGTCCCCACAAGGACCCGCCACACGGAGCCTTCCAGACTTCTGCAAACCCCGCCCCCTTGCCCAGGAGCAGAGCCAGGCAGACCTCTCCAAGGAGGACAGAGCAGGCAGCGAGGAAGGGGGTGGGACCAGGAAGGAACAGAGACCGGGAGAGGGGGGCCCTAGAGACGATGCGGGGTTCCCCATGCAGGCCCCTCTGGCAGCGGTTTTCACCAGGGCCCCTGGGCCTCACCTTCCCTAGAAAGTGCCTGCGGTAGGCCCTGGCCTCACTCTTGCTCTCAAGCTTGTAGCCGAAGGTGCTGGGGCTGAGGCCGTCCTCCTCCTCCTCCTCACAGACGCTGCTGCCCAGGGAGGTCGGCGTGCCCACGTTCTCCGGGTCCTCGATCCAGTAGCCCCCAAACTGGGGCAGGACGATCAGGGGGTATGGGCCTCCCTTCTCCACAACCTGGAGGCAAAGGGGGAGTCTTCACCGCAGCCTGCCCTGGGTCTGCAGGTGGAGTGGTGGTACCCCCACCTCTGAACTACTCCGCGGTGGGACCCCCACATATGAGGCCAAAGGCGGTAACATAAACTCCTCCTCCAAGCCCCGCAATATCTCCAACTTCGGTACTCCTGATTTAAATATTTTAAAATAGCTGAAGTCACAAAGGGCAAGAGGCCTCAGGCCCTCAAGTCCCAATCCCAAGGTTCTCCGGCCATTGGGCAGGAAGGGGACCATCACCATCAGCTCCCCCAGCCTTGCCCCAGAGACAGATCCAGGGGGCTCCTACCTCGTCGATGCTGGGGTACGGGATATAGTCGTCCTGCAAGACAGACAGACAACGCTCCATTAGTCCCAGCTTCCAGTCCCGCTCCCAGGGGGGGAGGAGGAGTGCTGGCAGCCTGGCAGGCTGCACCAGAACTTTGGACATGTCGGCGGGAAGAACACTCAACGGATCACAGCCTAGAGGCAGCTCTGGGCTCTGGCTTCTCCTGAGTTCTTCCCGGAACTGACAGAACCTGAGTGCAAAGCGGCCAGCGGAAGATGCACAGAGGAAGGGAGACGCAGGACACAGCGGCGCTGAACCTCACACCCCTACTGACACTAGCTCGTCCCCTAGGAGGCTCCAACAGGGAGATGGTGCTGGTCCCACCCAGCACCCCCTCCAGGCAAGGGGCTGACCTCCAAGTGATAACTGCACCCCGGGCCTTGGAAACAGAGCCTGAAGCTGAGAGCTGATGCCTGCTGGAGCCTGCAGTGTGGAGCCTGACACCCCCAAACACTGCGCGTGGTTCACCTACAGGAGCCGTGTTGGGGAGCCAGGCTGAGCTGCAAGCCATGGGTCCCCCCGAGGCCTCCACCCCAGCCTACTCTGAAGCTGCCATGAAACCAGTGCCCACCTTGCTGCCCACCATGCTCTGGTCAACAAGGTGCAGCCACTTAAGTGGCTGTTGGTGAAAATTAGTCAGATGGTGGAAGACAGCAGACCCCAGCATGCAGGCCGCTCCCCTGCCTTCTTCTGGCCTGGTCCCCTCACTGGGCCCACCTGGCTGCCACTTCACCCACCCAGCCCACCTTGTTCTTCTGGGGTCCTGGCTTCTGCTCTTCAAGCTTGATCCCCTGCAGAAACAAGGAAAAGAGGATCCATGGAAAAGCAAGGGTCACAAAACAGAGACCACACGGAAAAGTCCCTTGAGGGTTAGTAAAATAACAGCAGAGGCTGCCACATGCTGGGCCCTTCGGCGTCACACGCTTTGTCACACTCAGACCTCACAGCAGCCCAGGGGAGACAGCAGGGCAGGGGGTCGAGAGCAGGGACTCAGCCAGATCACCAGGGTTCAAATCCCAACTCTATCACTTCTGACCTTATGACCTTGGGCAAGTCACAAAACCTCTCTGTGGCTCAGTGTTCCCATCTGTAAAACGGGAATGACAACGGCACCTGCCATAGTGGTGAAGGTTAAATGTGGATCGTGCGTTAAGCCCTTGGAGGAGTGATTGGTGTGTAGTAAAGGCTTTCACGAGCTAGGCAGTATCAGCCTCACGGTGCAGAAGTGTCTCCCCCAGGCTCTCAGAGGATGAGGTGAGGAGCAGAATGGGAACCCACGTCTGTGGGGGTCAGAGCCATCACCCTGGACCTCCTGCCATACCTGCTCCACCACGTCCCTGGTGGGAGGACCCATGGGTGGCAGGCAGGAGACCCGGGCCCGGGCCTCACTCTGCCACTGTCCTATGAATGGCCCTTGACAACGTTGAGCCTTCTGTAGCCCTCACAGCTTCATCTGTGAAGGGAGGATTCTGGCACCCGCCCTCCCCTCTCACAGATACTGGGACCCGGCTGGATTAAAGAGCTCCCCGAGGCATCTGGGAGACACACTGCGTGGAACAGTGCTCAGTCCATTAGCCTGCAGCCAAGTTCTGACTTAACTGGGTTTCGTGGGAGGAGAGCACACGGTGTTCCCAGTTTTGTGAATAAATCCAACAAGGGTGCGAGATGGCGGGACAACTAGGACAAACAGGTCCCCTGGGGGGAGAAGAGGGCCGGAAGCAGCTGCTGCCAACCACAGTATAGCACAGGAGGCGAGAACCTTCCACAGCACACTCCCTCTGTCGTCTCCTCTGACGCCCTCGGTACCTTTAACCAGAGGGGAAACCGAGGCCCAGGGAGGAGGCTGCTTGCCTCATGTCACACAGCTAGTGAATGGCAAAGCCTGGATTTGAAGCCAGGCCATCTGTCCACCAAGTGCGTGACCAAATCCCAGAGCCCTGGGGGCTCAGGGTTCCTGCTCACTGGGCGGATTTGGACGGGCTTCCGGACTTTCTGGGCAGAATCACCTGCAGCACTGGGCAGGTGGGTGTGGGAGAGCCCCGCCCACCGGGCAGGTGCTCCCCTCCCTACACGGGAGAACTCCACTTGGGTGGCCCCGCAGACCCTATCCAGGGAAGCAAACTGGGTGGACGGAGAAGGGTGTGAGGTCAGAAGTTTGTTTTGTTTGTCGTCCCAGCCTGGGAACAGCCCCTGGGCAGGAGAACAAACCTCCTCCAGTCCCCTCCCCTCCCCCACTGCCAGGCATTGGGCCCACTCCCCTGGGCACAGAGGAGGATCTTAATAACTTGCTCATGATAATGACACAACCACTAGTAATATTTTTCCCTCAAACAGTCCCTCCTCTTCCCCATCCGTAGGGGAACCTGGCTTTCCAGGGAGGACTCCGCTTGCTGGCTCACTCACAGCCGCAGCCCTCCCGGGAGCTCCACCTGCGTCTCAGGACGGCAGGGGGCACCCTACCTGCATTCCTCCTAGTGCAGACCATCCCTATAGAATCCTCCTTCCTTGTGCCTGAAGCATCTACTTAGGGTTAAAAGCATGATATAATGACCAAGCCTTCTGGCTCTGAAGCTACTTACTAGCCATGAGCCCTGGAGTGTTTTATTTTATATCTCTGTGCCTCAGTATTCTCACCTGTGAAATGGGGATGATGATTATGATGATGATGATGATGATGATAACAACAATAATAATATACCTACTGCCTGGGGGCCTTATTAAGAAGAAATGCGAGCCCTGACCAGTTTTGCTCAGTGGTAGAGAGTCACCCCTGGACCAAAGAGTCGAGGGTTCGATTCCAGTCAAGGGCACGTACCTCAGTTGCGGTTCGTCCCCAGCCCTGGTTGGAGTTGTGCAGGAGGAAGCCAGTTGATGTGTTGCTATCACATCGATGTTTCTCTCTAACTCTCCCTCTCTCCCCTTCCCTCTCTCTCTCCCTCCCACTCTATGTGAAGATAAACAGAAAAATATCCTCAGGTGAGGATTAAAAAAAAAAAAGAAATGAGATAACAGCTGTCAATCTCTGACCCCAGACAAGTGCTTAAAATATATGTGCTTTTACATCATGTTCTTCACACTCTCTCCACCTGTGTCAATTAAACCTTCTGGACCTCTCCCCACATTCCCCGGGGCATCGGGTCTTACCTGTGAACCCTGACCCTTTGGTGATGACTAATCACAAAGGTCCCCAAATCCACACTAGACACTGACTGCTAGGCAGTACCTACCAAGTACTCACACCTATTATCTCATTTCATCCCAGCAACAATACAAGTGGGTATTTTTATTCTTATTTTATAGAGGCCATGATATTGTGACTTATAAGAAATACATATTTCGGTCTTTATCCCATTCCTGGCACAGAACTCCTAAAAGCCTTGGAATTTCTTAAGCAATAAGAACAATGAGAGCATCTGGGAGCGTTTTCTGTTCTAGGATTTGGCCTTTTGTCCTTGGATCTGCAATAGTTCCAGCGCCATAAAGATGAAAGGGGTGTTATTCATAAGTTTGTGTTAATGAGTTTATGTTAACGAGGTGACTTTGGGGATTTTCCTAAGGATGCGAGCTGGTTGACAGGGAAACCATCACATTAAAGGGTTGGAGGTTGAGACAGTCACCAGTGGCCAATGATTTAATCAATCATGCCTAAGTAATGAAGCCTCCATAAAAACCCAAAAGGATGGGGTTTGGAGAACTCCTGGGGCTGGTGAACCCGTGGAGATTTGGGGAGAGGGGTGCATTCAGAGGCCATGGAAGCTTGGAACCCTTCCCACACACCTTGCCCTGTGCCTCTCGTCCATCTGGCTGTTCCTGAGTTACATCCTTATCATAAACCGGTGATCTGGTAAGTAAACTGCTTTCCTGAGTTCTGTGAGCCACTCTAGCAAATCAACGGAACCAGAGAAGAGGACAGTGGAAACCTCCAATTTATAGCCAGTGGGGGTAGCCTGCCGGGCAGTGCCCTTACCCTGCAGGATCTAACGCTAACTCCAGGGAGACAGTGTCAGCATTGAGCTGAATGGTAGGACACCCAGCTAGTGTCGCAGAACTGTCTAGTGGGGGGAAAACAACCACACATTTGGTGTCAGAGCGAGGGGAGAACAGTGCTGTGAGTGGACAAAACACAGGCGCGAGAGGCTTAGAAAGGGGAAGGAATTTGGCAAGCCAGTGTTAGTGCAGAATTTGAACTCAGGTCTGTTTCTCGGCCGCCACTCTGCCCTCCAGACACAAGAGGAGTCCCCTAAGAAGGAGTTTTCTTTTCCAGGCGTTCTGTCCAACCCATTCGGGGGACATCTCTCAAGCCTTCCCCACACCCGTGGGGTTGATGGCATCCCATCTGATCTGTTGAGGCTTCTATTTTTATCTTCTCCCTGTTGGTCAGGCAGGAGCCGTCCACAATCCACTGTGCCACCCAACGTGGAAATGGCCTCAGGCTGTCCGGGCCATGGGGACAGTGAGTTCTCTCTTCTCTGCCCCTCCCTCCAAAGGCCCCGTGGGTTCCGCCCGGTGGTGTCCCCGGAGGGCAGTGCAGCAACCCCCCCAGGGGTCAGCGTCCCCACTGGGGGGATGCTCACCTGCATCTTCTCCAGCATCTCGAAGAACTCCGCCGACTGAAAGACAAAGAGGGAACAGAAAGATGGGGTGTCAGCCAGAAGGTCTGCTGAGAAGACCGCCTCCCCGACGGTCTGAACGCTTCCTTCGCCCAGGGCTCCCCGGAGACAAAACAGATTTGGATCAAGAGAGAGGATAATTTGATTTGTTCTGGAAGGCCAGAACACCCCAGACCACCAGAGAAAAAGTAAACCACGTGGGGCCGGCAAATGGTCCCGGGGAGGGCAGCCACTCCATCTCTGTCAAGGCCTGTGGGGCCTCTGGGAAAATGCACGTTCCCCAAAACGTCTGTCAGCCCTGGGACGCGGCCTCCAGCAGGGCTCATGTCTGGGATGTTTTCAGCCCAGCAGTGGGGCCAAGACGTCCACCGCGAGCAGTTTTCTAACCGCTTTGCCAACACAGCCCTTCCATCTCCTGATACGAAGTCTCCCTTAGAATTCTCACACAGAAAAGCAATCCAAGCAGCGGCGCTCGGCCAGGCAGCTGCGGGCCCGAGCCCGGCTCTGCCGTCTCTGCCGTCTCTGCCGTCTCTGCCGTCTCTGCCGTCTCTGCCGTCTCTGCCGTCTCTGCCGTCTCTGCCGCCTCCGCCTGCCTGCGGCCGGTGCCTGCAGCCTGTGAAGCGAAGCCTGGAGGCCACTGAACGGCAGCCTCCGGCGGCCTGCATGAGTTACTTAAAAAAAACCTCCAACTACTTACGTCCCAATCTTTCACCTGCTTTGGTGCTGCCATGTAAACTCCAGGTAGGACAAAAAGGAGAAGAGGGAAGTGGAATGAGGGGGTGAGGGGCTGAAAGCTCCGCCCTAACAAAACACACACGGGGGTCCCTCCATTCCGTGAAGACAGCCACACTTTCTTGTCTGAACACCGCTGCCCACATCTGGGCCCTCGCAAGCCATGAGTTAATGAGCCCAGAACAGACAGTCCCCAGATAGACAGGAAAGAATAGAGTAGTGACAAGGAGGCCCAAGTATGTCCTTGTCACTTCTTCTTGCAGAGGTAGGGCCTCCCAACGCTCTCCCTTCCCCTGCAGGCACCAGTGGCCAGAACTACCTAGGGCCCCGCTGCCCTGAGATCCTCAGAAGAAAACCTCCATGGGAGGGACCCTTGTGGAGTTACCTGGGGAGACGTAGCCCTGTTGCAGGCTCCAGATGACCTCGCTGAGGCCGAAGCTGACCTGCCAGAGGCAGAGTCTGTGACCCACCTGCAGTTCAGGTACCAGGGTCTGGAAACCCCACGTGTGAATGTACAGAATTGAGGACAATCTTGGGGCACCCACATCAAGTACCCTTGGCCAGAAGCAGCCACCAAACACCCAGCTCCCAAACCGACCCTTCCCACTTGCTCTGTTCTGTCCTTACCAACTCGCCTCCAACAGACCAAGAGTACTAGGCATAAGAAACGTATACAAATCAATAAGGCTAGAAAGATGAGTGGGAAGAAGACAAGAGTGTAGAAACAGTCAACACTTTAAATACACAGACCTCTTACCCAGCAATCCCTCCTCTAGGAATCTGTACTATAAACACAGTTACACTTGTACTCAAAGACAGATACAATAATGTTCTTTGCAGCATTGTCTGTAACAGTAAAAAATAGAAACAACTGAATCATCAATCTATAGGAAACGGGTTAAAGTAGCTACATTCATAGCATCAAATACAAATACCATGAATAACTATGTGTCAATAAATAAAATAACTTAAATGAATTGGACAACTCCCAGCAATACACAAATTACCAAAACTGACTCAGGAAGAAATAGAAAATCTAAAAAGATGTACAAAAAATAAAGAGATTGAGTTGGTCATCAAAAAACTACACACAAACAAAAGCCCAGATCCTGATGGTTTCAGTTGTGAATTCTACCATTTAAAGAAGAGTTAAGACTAATTCCTCAAAAACGTTTCCAAAAATAGAAGAGGGAACACCTCTCAACTTATTCTATGAGGCTAGTATTACTCTAACACAAAAACCAAAACCATGACAAGAAAAGAAACCTACAGACCAATATAGCTTATAAATAGAGATGCAAAAACTGTCAACAAAATGCTATCAAACTGAATTCAGCAATATATAAAAAGAATTATACATCATGACCAGGTGGGATTTATCCCGGTAATGCAAGGTTGGTTTAACATCCAAAAATCAATTAATGTAACATACCACATGAATAGAATAAAAAATAAAAACCACATTATCATCTCAAGAGACAGAGAGAAAGAATTTAACAAAATCAAAAACCCTTTCTTGATTAAAGAAGGAACACTTGAACTAGGAATGGAAGGGAAGTTCCTCAACATGATAAAATACACCTACAAAAAAAAAAAAAAAATCCCATAGCTAATCTCATACTTAATAATGAAAAGCTGGATGTTTTGTCCATAAGATAAGGAATAAGACAAGGACATCCACTCTAATTTAACATTGCACAGGATGTTCTCACCAGAACAATTAGGCAAGAAAACTCTATGAAAAGCATCCAAATTGAAAAGGAAGAGGTGAAACTATCTCTATTTACAGATGAGATGATCTTGCATATAGAAAATCCTAATGAATTCACTTAAAAAAAAATGTTTTAGGACTAACATAATAAATGAGTTCTGCAAGGTTGCATGATATAATAATCAATTGTATTCCTCCACACTATTAATGAACAATCCAAAAGTAAAATTAAGAAACCAATGACAATTACAATAGCATCAAAGAGAATAAAACACATAGGTGTAAATTCAACAAAAGTGTAAAATGTATACTCTGAAAAGTACAAAACATTGATGAAAAAAATTAAAGAGGTTCTAAATGAATTCTCACAATTAGAAGAGCCAGTAGGTACTCTCCAAATGGTCTACAGAGTCTATGCAATCTCTGTCACCATCCAAGCTAGACTAGACCCTCTCTAGAGATTGAAAAGCTGATCCTAAAGTTGGCATGGAAATTCATGGGGCCCAGAACAGCCAACCATTCTTGAAAAAGAACAAAGTTGGAGGACTCCCACTTCCCAATCTAAAAACCTACTACAAAGCACAAATAATCAAGATAGTGTGATACTGACACAAGAATAGACATATAGATCAATGGAATAGAATTTTGAGTCCAGAAATAAATCCATACATTTATGGTAACTGATTTTTAACAGCGGTGTCAAGACTATTCAATGAGGTCCTTTCAATAAACTGTGCTTGGAAAACAGGATAGCCACAAACACCATACACAAAAATGGAGTGAAAATATAAGAGCTAAAACAATAAAGCTCTTTGAAGAAAACAAGAGTAAATCTTTGTGACCTTGGGTTTGGCAATGAATTCTTAAATATGACACCCAAAGCATAACAACAATGAAAACAATACATTAGATTTCACCAAAATTAAAAATGTCTGCACATCAATGAACACTATTAAGAAAGTGAAAAGACAACCCACAGAATAGAAGAAAATATCTGCAAATCATATATCTGATAAGGGACTTATATCTAGAATATATAAAGAATTCTTACAATTCAATAATAAAAGGATACCTCTATTTAAAAATGAGCAAAAGGCCCTGGCCGGTTTTGCTCAGTGGTTAGAGTGTAGGCCCACAGACTAAAGGGTTGAAGGTTCGATTCCCAGTCAAGGGCATGTACCTGAGTTGTAGGTTTGATCCCTGGCCCTGGTTGGGATTGTGTGGGAGGCAATCAATCGATGTGTGTCTCTCACATTGATGTTTCTCTCTCTCTCTCTCTCTTCTCCTCCCTCCCTTCCACTCTATCTGAAAATCAGTGGGAAAATGTCCTTGGGTGAGGATTTACAAAAAAGTAAAAGTTAAAAGGAGCAAAGGATTTGAATAGACATTTCTCCCAAGAAGATATACAAATAGACAACAAGTACATGCAAAGATGCTCAACATCATTAGTCACTGAAATGTAAATCAAAATCACAATGAGAGAACTTTACACCCACTGGAATGGCTATAACCAAAAAAACAATCACAAGTGTTGACAAAAACATAAAGAAATTGTACTGTTGGTGGGAATGTAAAATGGTACAGCCACACCCTGGCCAGTTTGGCTCAGCGGTTAAAGCGTCGGCCTGCGGTCCGGAGAGACCCGGGTTCAGTTCCCGCTAAGGGCACGTACTTCGGTTGCAGTTTGTCCCCGGCCCTGGTTGGTCGTGCAGGTGGCAGCCACTCGATGTGTCCCTTCACATCGATGTTTCTCTCTCTCTCTCCCTTCCTCTCTCTCCTTCCCACTCTATCTGTACAAAAAATGGAAAAATATCCTCGGGTGAGGATAAAAAAATAAAATAAAATAAAATGGTACAGCCACTATGGAAAACAGTTCGGAGTTCCTCAAAAAGTTACACAAAGATTTAACATTTGACCTAGCAATTCCACTCCTAGGCATATTCTCCAAGAGAAATAAAAACATATGTCTACACACAAACTTGTACACCAATGTTCACAGCAGCAATATTCATAATATCCAAAGAGTGGAAACCCAAACATCCATCAACTCATGATTAAACAATTATGGCATATCCATACAATGGAATAGTATTTGGCCATAAAAAATAATGAAGTACTGGTTTTGTAAGGGGAACAGAAAAAATGTACAAAGAACATGAACAATTTGCTCAAGGAGAAAGATAAGATGACCAATAAACACAAGGAACATGCCCAACCTTCCTTGTTATTAAAGAAATCAATATAACATCTTTCATCTATCAGATTGGCCAAGATTAAAATGAAAACCCAGCCTTGGATGAGTTGCTTAGTGGTTAGAGCATCAACCTTTGGACAGAAGCGTCTTGAGTTTGATTCCAGTCAAGGGCATGTACCTTGGTTGTAGTTTGGTCCCCAGTCCCGGTTGGGGTTGTGTGGGAGGCAACCGATCAATGTGTCTCTGTCTCTCTCCCTCCCTCCCACTCTATCTGAACATAAATGGAAAAATATCCTTAGGTGAGGATAAAAAAATAAAAATAAATTAAAAAAAAAACAAAACAGAGTTGACAATGGAGTTAAG